ACCGTTCAAAGGGCCCGGGGACCGGCGCTGGTGGGGAGCGGGGGATGTGGTTTAAAGCCCGGTCCGGCTGCTGTGGGGTCCGGGGCCCGCGCTGGGAGCTTGCCGCGGCGGTAGGAACGCCCTGCCTCTCCCCCGAGGGGAAGGTCGGACTCCTGGTTCTCGTTTGGGGGTAGAAGAGGCACTGTCATCTTAAATTTATCTCAGTGGTTTGGAAGGTTATTGGTGAAAAGTAAAGTCAGCTCATAACGTCCCATAAATATTTCTAAACATAAAAGCTTATTTTTAGCAGTGCTGCGCTCTGTATCTTGCAGGAAATATGTCAATAAATAAAACCATGAGCAGGAAATGCAGCCACAGCACAGAAGCTAACCCTTCAGCAATAAATAAAGGAACGGAGCTGTGTTGTTTCCATTTGCTATAAAAGTTTTCCTTGTTGCTAGAGCCTATTACAATCGCTTTAGTTGTATTTTTAAAGTGGCTATTATAAACACATCTTTTAACATGTTTTTGCTTTCCTTGCTGCCATCTCCGTGTCTGGTTTCAATTGCTTCACTGTTTGTGATCGTTGAGTCAAACACAGGGTATGTGCTGAAGATGGATTCAGTGCATTTTATTCATTTTACAAAGCTGTGGATAATTTAGATTTCATAAACTGAAAGATTTGAGAGCATACTTAAAAATCCACATAGATTAAATGATCAAAAATATGTATACGAACCACGCTGAATGTGTCTGGTTTTGTTTTTACAGGTTATTAATGGAGCAACTAGTTTTCTCATCAGACTTTCTTCTTCAAATAACCTAAAGACTAACGATCAGAATCTGACTGCAGGACTTCTGCTGCTCTGTCACGTCCAGCTCCACAATGGTTGATTTTCTAGCTGAAAACAATCTTTGTGGTCAGGCAATTCTTCGGATTGTCTCCTGTGGAAATGCCATTATTGCAGAACTTCTGAGACTTTCCGAATTTATTCCTGGTGTTTTCAGGCTAAAGGACAAGGGTGATCAACAGAAGTACGGGGATATCATATTTGATTTCAGTTATTTTAAGGTAAATCCTTTTATTGTTAAACTTCTTCTTAAAGCATTGCTGTCCTGCGTGAGGATGCTCAGGTTGTGAAACAGCCATTCCTGACTATTGTGTTTATTACTAGCATTCTTCAGAGTTGACTGTCATGACTTCCTACTTGCTTAGTTTTTACCAAAAATTCACCAAATGAAGATAGCAACTGGGATATGCTCGCTTGCTAGCGTTCTGCTTCTGGGCTGTCTTGTATTTTATATACTTCTGATCATACTCAGCCTCATCTTACTCATTTCAGTGCGCAGAAACAGTCTAGGGAAGGTTCTGTGCTTAGGCCCCTAGGCAGAATATAACTGGTACCTGCCCTGAGAGTATCAGGGCAAGAGGGAGGAGGCAATTTTAAGTGCATCCATACAAGAGCAGTTCCAGCTGCGCATTTCAAA